ATAAAAGAAGCAGCTTTAATCGCAAAGCCCCAGAGACGACGTTTCATTTTAAAACCGAGCCTCGCAAAGAATTTCGTACTAATTTGTGCAAATATCTATGACTCTGAACTGTATAAAACTCAATTACTTTCACTGTTCACAATAGCCAAGCTATTTCCCGAGTCGAACCTGAGGGCGCTGTTGCGTCATTATTATTATTAGTATAACTATTATTATTATTATTATAGTAATAATTATTATTATTATATTAGGGAGACACCTTATCGTAATTTCTTTGATAATAAGGAAACACCGGTCATTAGGGAGACACATAACTGTCTCCCTAATGTTAGAACCCCCCTTTAGAGGCAACATTTTAATGTCGCAAGAAGGTTATATTTGTTGCTCGTGGTCTAATTAGTAAAAATACCGAAATCTATTATTAATCATTTCTGGTAATGAAACCAAGGATTCCTCAAAAGCGCCCTAGGCAATGTAGCTCGCAAGCCTGAAGAAACCTGTTGAGAGAAGACAATAAAAAGAAGTTACAGTTTTAGAGGTGGGAGGAAAAGCCCAGAAGAATATTCTGGGGAAAACCAACGGAATCAGGCAGGGACTGAAAACTCAATCCACATATTGGCCCAGGCGGGATTCGAACCGGGGTCACAGCGGTGGAAGGTGAGGAAAGTACCGCTACGCCAACCTGAATTCAGGTACTCACTTAGTAAAGATTCAGAAATTGTCAGTGCAAATTATTAAGAAGAACTGAACTGAGTATAAGAGTAATGATACGTGAATGTGGCTCACTGACTGGCTTTCATGTAAACCAAACGAAGCGAGCCCAGTGAAGCTAGTCAATTTATTCAGTCGAGTCAGAAATGGCTGATCACCGGAAGTCTTTTCATGCATCTCTTTTTTTGACATAACGGGGTAATCCTTTAAAGGGAAAATACAACATTTGCAAACATCAAAAAATAAAACTACCAATTCATTTTGAAATACCTTGCTGGACTGTTAGTGAATGACAGTGTAAAGCATCCTGTAAAATCATGGCACCTGGTATACTGTCATTTTCAAGAAAAGTGGTATTTTTGTATCAATTTCCAACGCTGGTCGGCCGACCAGCGTTGGAAAAAAACTGGCTTTTTTTTCTTCAAATACTGGCCCCAATTGACCATCGCACTTGTTTGCAATCGATTACACACCTATGAACGGGTACAAGCCAGCTAGACTGGTTCCCTGACCTTACAATTCCCCAATGTATGTAAACTGCTCTGTTTCTTCTTATGTGGAGTCAGGGAACCAGACTACAGGAAAATGATTGTTTTTCTTGGTTTTTATAGCATTCTCGAACCCAAAACCTCAAAAAAGTCAGTGTAACTATATTTACTATATATTTCCAACCCCCCCAATTCCATCCATTTCTGAAAATTACAGCAAAAGCAAATGATGTATATTCCCTTTAATAATGCGTATTTATAAAGTGCACATATCCACCGTTATTGGTGCTCAAGGCACTACATCATTATTTACCTGCTCATTGGAACAATGAAACATTCCAAATACCATCTCAGCTTCTAGGAGAGTATGCAACTCGATGCTGCAAAGCAGCTAAAATCAACCACAATAACCATCTCTGCCCTCACAGGTTCTCATTAATTTATTCCTGGGTGGAAAGAAGCAATGAGTGACGAAGTGCCTAGCCCAAGGGTACACGCGCCATAGCCGCAGGCTGGACTCGAACCCAGAACCTACAGAATTACCCGCAGACCACGAAGTCAATGCTCCAGAACACGAGGCCACGGCAAGCCTATTTTAAACTCTCGGGCCAAGGTGAGAATTAAGGAAGTCTAATTCACAAGTGGCCCTCAGTCGGGGAGTCAGTCGGGGAGTCAGTCGGGGAGTCAGTCGGGGAGTCAGTCGGGGAGTCAGTCGGGGAGTCAGTCGGGGAGTCAGTCGGGGAGTCAGTCGGGGAGTCAGTCGGGGAGTCAGTCGGGGAGTCAGTCGGGGAGTCAGTCGGGGAGTCAGTCGGGGAGTCAGTCGGGGAGTCAGTCGGGGGGGGGGAGTCAGCCAGCCAGTCAGTCGGGGAGTCAGTCAGTCAGTCAGTCAGGTACAAAGAGGACTATAGGCTGGCCCTCTGTGATCAGCAAAAGCAGAATTGACCACAGCAAAAAGCAAATTTCTGGCAATTTTTTTGTGTGCGCACAGCTAACAACCTAAGCATGCCATTACATCTTGCTAATGAATATGGATAAAACATTAACATAACAAAGAGGTCTCGTGACATCGTTTAATACAACAACTGGGAATGGGGGCGTATAATTGGGACATTGACATAAACGTGCATTATCCGAGGACTTCATTTTAAAGCCTTCATTTCATGGCCATTTTTTTAAATCTTAAACTAAATGCGTGCTGTACCCATTGAGTGGCGAATTATCCACAACGATTGCAGTAGTACTCTGGGATTGATTGTATGTCGACGATTTTGTCCACTGCAGCAAAAGACTATCGATCATATAAAGTGTTTTTTTCCTTAACATGCTGTTTTCAGTCTACCCCACGCAGGGCGGCGAATGGATTACATGCCTCCGGCTATTTGTGCGAAACACAACATATTTCAAAATCGGCTCGCATTATAAAAATGTGAACACTAGGCCTGTCGACTGTATATAAGAAGATCGGACAAGACATAGTACAATCATGTTCTACTCTGGCTTCATCAGTTTTGCGCTTGATCCACCAAAGCAATTCCTGGAGGGTACTATACTTTCCAATGGATAAACCTGCAAGCCAGCAAATTGAACGGACGTGCAGATACGAGTCTCTTCAGCGGCGGTGTATCCGGTTTTTATGGACTGATTCCAGTAGTTATTTTTTTGTTCACCACTACGGTTCTTTGTTGACACTCGACGATACCATTTACACTCAAAAGTACGCAAGGTTGGCATGCAGCAACAAGTAGGATCGAAAAATTAGTCATGGTCCCGCGCACACAGATCGCACGCGATGCCGTTTCAATTAATTCTCACACGGTGTCATCTACCATTCTTGCGCCGAGTTCATTTGGTACCAGGCTATATACAGATGAACCAGAAGCTTGGAGTTTTGTGAAAACATCACACCTATTGAACAAGAGCAGATGCAAGGTAGGTTACGAATCATACACTGGTTAGCCAGTGCTCGTATTTGCTAAACGGCGTCAGCTATGATGTTTCCCGCTGAGCAAACTTCATCAAAGTTTCCAACTGTGTGAAGATTTCAAAATTGTGATTGTCTTGTGATATAGGCTAAGTAGATGAAATCAAAAGAAACAGTACTAAGTAATGTGTCCAATCCATCTCATCTTAACTGTAAAGCATCGGGATGGGGATATTTGTACCAATAGCATTTTACTTTGCAGAAAACATCAGCACTTCTCGTTTTTTAACTGCCGTAAACTTGTTGTTTATGTGCCACACCGTTCGGCCACATTATCAGATCAAGTAGAAACGAAAAGACACTCCTCGGTGAATTTAGCTGCAATAAACACCTGATATGTCACTGAAAAAAATGTGTTATTTAATTAAATGTCGATAAGGCGTAGTTTGCAATAGGCCAAGTCGAGTTCTTTACTTGGACGGTGAACCAAGATAAAAAACAACCCAAACATTTCTATCGGCAAAACCTTCTCATTCGATGGACCAACACTAGACTGGAACACTACTAAATGCTATCACGTATTTGACGCACGACTATTATAACGCACGTGTACGGATTTGGACTTGAATCAAGTTGACGGTTTGAACTGAGAGTTTTTTTTTCTGACATGTTCAACAGTTTTTTTATCCAATATTTCGAAAGGTTTCCGGGGGGGGGGAATTGTGCGTGTAAGTCCAAGATTAAATTCTTCTTAATGTCGCAGACCACTCCTATTTGTAATAATGAAGGTGGCATGGGTGGCTTGTGCGTAAAGCGCTCGCCTCTCACCAAGGTGACCACGGTTCAAATCCTGGCCGCGGATCACATGTGAGTAGAGTTGTGCGTTGGGTTTTTCTCCGGGCCCTCCGGTTTTCCTCCCTCCGGAAAAATCAAACACTTTCGATCTCAGGCTGTGCTCCGTGGTCATATATGGGTCGATGTGGCCGGCAGCCATAGGCGTCTTTACGTGCCAGCGGCCCGACCACGTTGTAGCCGCGTCCTTCGCAATTCAGCATACCAGCTGCGAGTAAGGATGATTAGCCTCCCAAATTATTAATATTATTAATTAAATTTTTAATAATCGATTCCATTAATCTCCGTTCGTTCAATAGTCACTGGAAGACCTTCGGAGTCTCTATCAAAATATACAATAAAAATCATCCCGCGTTTGCTTCCGCTCGACAAGAAAACTAATTTCCTGGTAGATCCTGGTAGTTCGTTCAGAAAGAACGAGAGGAGTTTTGTCCATCAATTCGAGTAAATTTGAGTGAATTTCGTGAGGATCGTAATGTTTGTACAAAGAGTGCGTCATTGCCGGTAGCCAAATGGACTTATAAAAAGATCGATACGCGAGTGTTCTCTGCACATTCAACAGAATGTCCTATGCTTCTTCGTTTTCGGAATTGTTCACATCTACATGTATTCCTATCAAATTCAGAAGCTACAATAAATGCTTCGCTTACGCTCTTTTCTTCCCTATTAAACACTGTCATTGGGATGATATCTTCAGGGAGACTGAACTCCATGCATTTACCATAAGCCTCAATTCACTGTTTTTATTGACTGTTTCACTGATTCCCATTTCGCTTTTCAGCCACTGGATTTCGGCAGCGTTTTGTCGGATACTCTCGGTGTGAATTTTGAAGGAGTTTATCAATCATCATTTTTACCACTTGCGCAATTCGTTTGATTGGACCTGCAACGTTTCAGCTTTGAAAAAACTACACGTCACAACTAATGACAACGGAACATTCTCGATGGATACTGAGATGACTGAATACATGGTAACTAAGTTAACGTCTGTTTGGTTCAAAGACAACAGTCCATTACCTGACATCACCATGGAACCTGATAACCAATCTCTGTACAACATCTCTGAAATTAATGGTAGTGACTACCTTCTCGACACCACTATCTGGTTTGATTTAAGCACCGAGGAGCCAACACACTTCCCACTCCCAGGCAGAGCTTCCCTGATTGAATTCATAATACGCTTGATAATTCTGATTATCACCCTCTTCGGCAACACTTTAGTGCTGTACGCCTACGCCACAACGAAAAATCTTCGTACATACTCCAACTATTACATCGTGGGATTGGCGGTGGCTGATTTCTTCGCTGGGGGCGTCCTACCAATTATAACACTCTACCATTCTTTTCTTGGTTACTGGCCCTTCACCGAGGTCGCCTGCACCTGCATGATCTTCATCAATCACGTTTTCCTCCAGGCCACTTTCTTGATGACGGTGGTGATTTGCTACGATAGGTTTAAGGCTCTCAACATGCCCCTCAAGCACTTGAAGGAAAAGACAATACGTCACGCCTGTTTCCTGATATCCCTTGCCTACATCATCCCGGTACTGCTCTGGACGCCTGTCATTGTGGTGTTCCCGTACGTCGGGCTGGCCACCCGGATACGTCCCCCGCTGTGCACCGGTCCCTACGCGCTCCACCCTCCCCTACTAATCTTCACAATCGTGGTCCTATCCTGGATCCCGATGCTGGTGACCTCTGTCCTCTACGCTTTCGTTTATAGGACCATCATTCGTAAAGGGGTAAACAAGAAGCGAGGCATCGGTGAGGAGGCAAGCTCCAACTATAAATCCGAGAATCGGTCTTCATCGCGGGCAGCGACCGACGAAACACCTGGCTTGAGCACCTATCACCTGGCATCTCACTCACAGACAACCTTTGATACCGAGCCAGGTTCATCCAACGATCTAGTCTTCAGCGTCTCTGCTGGACTCTCCAAGGGCTTGACCAACTTGGCCTTCGAGCAAACCGTAGATGATAATGATGGAGACAACACCAAGGATTATCCAGAAACAACCATCCGCCACATTTCTCAGCAGACGGCAATACCGTCGTCGAAACGATCAGTGAAACACCCCGATGAAACGTCGACGAAACGCCATGTCGGCCTGGGCGCATCAAAGCGTAAGACACGAGCCTCCACCATAGGTTCCAAGCGGGAGAGTCGGTTGGCCAGTCTCCGTGCAACGCGCACCTTGACGTACATCATGCTCGCCATGGTTGTAACGGCACTACCGTGGTCCATCTTCGCGTTGTGGGCCGCCATTGATCCCTTCACTGTGCCTCTCAGGGGCCGTGCATTCCCAGTAAGTGATTTTAATTTGGGATTTGTCCCTTTATCGACTTAACTTTCACCAAGTATTGTAGTCGAGTCAGAAGTTGACTACAAGTTCGGTCACAAGTCAATCACAGTAACAATCACAAGTAACATTTTGACGTCTCTTTATTAGACGTCAACTTGCCACCATTATTCCGACGATGGCAATCGGTATTTTGACGTCGGCGCCGGCCTGCCAACGTTGTGCCGACGTAGATGAGAGGTATTCATTTGGACGTCGGCCTTCCTACCTTTATATACCGACGTTGACGATCGGTATGCACTTTAACGTCGGCCTTTCAATGTTGTACAGACGTTGGAATTCAGTCTTTATATTGGAAGTGAACCTGCCAAAATTATGCCGACGTTGACGATCGGTATATACAGGGTGTCTCAAAAAGGTACACCCATTTTTAAATGTAGATTATAACAAATCCACTCAATATTAGATTATATACTAGATTACAACAAATCCACTCAATATTCGGCATCAACGTTGTACAGACGTTGGAATTCAGTATCTATATTGGAGGTGAACCTGCCAACATTATGCCGACATTGACGATCAGTATATACAGGGTGCCTCAAAAAAAGTACACCCATTTTTAAATGTAGATTATAACAAATCCACTCAATATTTCAGAAAAAGTCATATATCTTGAAAAAAGGTAAGTATGTCCTCTTTTAAATGGTATCAAGTTCATGACATCATTGCTACGGATGACTGAGCAATAATGGCTTGAGTCTACGACATGCATGATGGCGAATGGATTACATGGCCCCGGTCACCAGTGGTTCTTGGTCGTATTTGCTCAACGGCGTCAGCCACGATGTTTTTTCCCGGAAGTTTAACTTTATAAAGTTTTCAAACTGTATGCAGAATTCAAAAGTTCAATGATCTTGCGATAAGTACATAACGTCAAAAGGACTTAGTAATGTACATCTCACCTTAACTGTGAATCATTGGGATGGGGATATTATTTTTAACCTAGTATTTACTTTGCAAAACAATGTCAGCCCATGTTCAACTCTGTTCATGTTGATTATTTGCCACACACCTCTTCGTTCGGCCACATAATCAGATCAAGTTTTCATTTCGCGCAAAGTTTCTCCAGAAACAGTTTAATAAACGGAATGAAGTCATCTGAGACGAAAAGCAAATTTCGAAAAAAAAACCGGGAGACTTGATCATTATTATTATGGCGCACAAATTGTACCCTTCGCAACACGAGAACCGTGTGGCAAAGCCACTCGACGACTTTAAAGTATGAGATATTTATGCCGTGTGTTTTCTCTTTCCAGTTGTTAAAACAATAACATTAAAGAACCTGGCCTAACGATGTCGCACATCACGGTTCTTATCAAACCGGCTTCTGTGAAACAACATTAGACAAATCGAAGTCTTCATCAAACGTTGAAATTTAACTGCAATAAACTTTCACAGGATTTAATTTTTTTAATTGATACGATGGCAAAAAGCATATTTTGATACTTAGACTTATCCCGAGTCAGATCCAAAAGGTGGACGTACAACCAGGATTAAAAAACACTTTTGTACCGGAAAATCATCCGCAATCGCTGTACCAGAACGGATTGACCTGAGAGTTTTAAGTGATATGTCTCAAATTTTTTCCAACCAATAATTCGAAAATTTTCCTCTCCAGGGTAATGGGTGCGTGTAAGTCCAAGGTTAATTCCTTCTAAACGTCTTCCAACCATTCCAATTTGTATTAGTCGATTCTATTAATCTCCCATTTGTTAATTTTCACGGGAAGACCTTTAGAGCCCCTATCAAAACATCAAAAAACTATCCCCACGCTAAAGTCAAAACGCATATATGCAAGAAATTTTATTTCCCAGGAGACCGTGGAACAAGAACCACAGGAGTTATGTCCATCAATTTGAGTGAATTTGAGAGAATTTTGTAAGGATCGTAGTTTCAGTACAAGCAATGCGTCATTGCCGGTAGCCAAATGGACTTATAAGAAGCCCAACACTGGTCAGCGATGTCAGAATTCTGGACGAAAGCTCGGACTGCTCTACACACCTTCTGATCACAAGTCAGATACGCGAGTGCTCTCTGCACATTCAACGAAATTGTCTCCGCTTCTTCGTGCTCAGAATTATTCACATTCATTCCTATCGAACTCAGAAACTTAAGTCAATGTTCCGTTTACGCTCTTCTCCGCCCTAAAAAGCAATCATTGAGCCCATATCTTCAGGGAGACTTGTGTAAAGTCCATGCATTTGTCGTAAGCCTAAATTTAATGTTTTAATTGACTGTTTCACTGATTCACACTTCGCTTTTCAGCCACTGGATTTCCGAGGCGTTTAGTCCTGGAATGTCGGTGTGAATTTGGAGGAGTTTTTTCAAGTAAGTATAAAACACTTGCGCGATACATTTGACTCGACAAGATTCATCATAGCAAAACTACACTTCACAACATTCTCGATGGCCAATGAGATGACTGAATACGTGGTAACAGAGTTTACATTTGAAGACAACAGTCTATTACCTGACATCACCATGGATCCTGATTACCAATCTTTGTACAACATTTCTGATATTAATGGTAGTGATTACCTTCTCAACACCACTTTTGGGTTTGATTTAAGCACCGAGGAGCCAATACCCATTCCACTCCCAGGTAGAGCTCCCCTGATTGAAATCATCATACGCTCGGTCATTGTGATTATCACCCTCTTCGGCAACACTTTAGTGCTTTACGCCTACGCCACAACGAAAAATCTTCGTACATACACCAACTATTACATCGTGGGTTTGGCGGTGGCTGATTTCTTCGCTGGGGGCGTCCTGTCAATTATACTCCTCTACCAATCTTCTCTTGGTTACTGGCCCTTCACCGAGGTTGCCTGCACCTGCATGATCTTCATCAATCACGTTTTCCTCCAGGCCACTTTCTTGATGACGGTGGCGATTTGCTACGATAGGTTCAAAGCTCTCAACATGCCCCTCAAACACTTGAAGGATAAGACTATGCGACACGCGTGTTTCCTGATATCCCTTGCCTACATCATCCCGGTACTGCTCTGGACGCCGGTCATTGTGGTGTTCCCGTACGTCGGGTTGGCCACACGGATTCGTCCCCCACTGTGCACCGCTCCCTATGCGCTCCATCCTTCCCTACTCATCTTCGCAATCCTAGTCCTGTCCTGGATCCCGATGTTGGTGACCTCTGTACTGTATGTCTTCGTTTATAGTGCCGTCATTCGCAAAGGGGTCAACAAGAAGCGAGGCATCGGCGAGGAGGCCAGCTCCAACAATAAATCCGAGAATCCGCCTGCATCGCGAGCAGCGACCAAAGAAAAACCTGGCTTGAGCAGTCCCACCGATCGGTGCGACCGGGCATCTCACTCACAGACTGCCCTTGATATCGAGCCAGGTTCATCCAAGGATCAAGTCTTCAGCGTCTCTGCTGGAATCTCTATGGGCTTGACCAACTTGGCCTTCGAGCAAACCGGAGATGATAATGATGAAGACAACACCAAGAATCATCCAGAAACCACCATCCGCCAAATTTCGGCAGTACAGTCGACGAAACGTCCAGCCAAAAAAGCGGGTGAAACGTCGACGAAACGCCATGTCGGCCTAGGCGCATTGCAGCGTAAAACACGAGCCTCCACCATGGGTTCCAAGCGGGAGAGTCGGTTGGCCAGTCTCCGTGCAACGCGCACTTTGACGTACATCATGTTCACTATGGTTGTGACGGCACTACCGTGGTCCATCTTCACGCTCTGGGCCGCCGTTGATCCCTTCACTGTGCCTCTCAGGGGCCGTGCATTTCCAGTAAGTGACTTTAATTTGGAATTTTGTCCTTTTATCGACTTAAATGTTATTGTAGTGTTGTTTTGTAGTCGAGTTTATCAGAAGTTCACAAGAAGTAAAAGCACAAGTACTTTCACAAGTCCAGTCGCTAGTGAAATTGGATGTACAATAACAAAGAAGTGCCTTCGTCACAGTTCATTTGGATAGCTTGCGACTTGACTTGGGACTGGATGACTTGTGATGGTATTGTTGGACTTGTAATGACTTGTGATGAACTTGACTACACTGCTTTCACGGACGTAAGCTTGCTTCGGGTAGGACTCGAACCCAGGACCAGCTGCTTTCGTGCAAACGTCTTAACCATTCCCTATATCGTCTGTCTGATTCGAATCCGATTTTGGTCGTGGGTCGTGCTTTTCTGATTTCATCGACTTTCTCAGATATACAAGATCTAATTCCTGTTTAAGAGCTGTTATGTGGGCGCAGCCTACTGAGGTAGAGTGCCCTGAACTCGTGGTCTGGAGAATCGAATCCCAAGATCTGTGGGTAATTTTGCAGGTTGTAAGTTGAGTCAAGCCTGTGGGTTGTAGCGCGTGTGTCCTTTTGGCAAGAAACATTTTCGCTATCAAATTGCTTCTCCCCACCAAGGAGAAAATAGGTAACTATGGCTGTTCAGGGAGGAAATGGTTACTGCCCAGATGATACGTTGGCCCGACGTCGGTTAACGTCGACTTTGTCTTTTTTATTTTGCCGACGTTGGTGATCGGTATGTAAACTGACGTCGGCCCACCAACGTTGTACTGAGGTTGGTAACAATCTGTTTGTTCGACATCGGCCTGACAACGTTATGCTGACGTTGTCGATCGGCCTGCATTTTCACGTCGGCCTGCCAACGTTGAACTGACGTTGGTATTAGTTTCTATATTAGACGTCAACGTTCCAACATTATTCATACGATGGCAATCGGTAAGTATGTTGGCGTCGGCCTGCCAACGTTGTGCTGACGTAGGTGAGCAGTATACATTTAATTAACGTCGGCCTGCCTACGTTGTGCCGACGTTGGCAATCGATGTGCATTTTGACGTTTGTTTGCCAACATTGTATCGACGTTACTAAATCGTCTGTATATTCGACGCTTGGAGTTTAGTAAAGACATCATACCTTTATTCAACAAGAGAACATGCAAGGTAGGGTTACGAATCTTACACCCGTCAACCAGTGGTCCTTAATTATTCGTATTTGCTCAAGGGCGTCTTCCTAAAAGTATCAAACTGTATGAAGATTTCTTAAGTTTAATAATCTTGCGATAAAATTTTATTTTCCACACACTTCGTCGTTCAACCACATAATCAGATCAAGTTTCCTTCTTGAGAAGGCGTTTGATAAACAGAATGAAGCCAGCTGAGACGAGTTGATCATTGTTATTAAAGCGCGCAAATTGTATCCTTGAGTAAACGGGAAGCGTTTGTGCCACAGTCACTTGAGGACTTTACAGGAAGAAATCTGTGCAATATTTTTCCCGTTCCAGTTGTTAAAACAATTACATAAAGGAACTTGAATGACCTAACGGTGTCGCACAACGTAATTATTGAATCAGCCTCTTTGAAAAAAAATAGACAAAGCAAAGTCTGCAGTAACGGAGAATTTAGCTGCAATAAACTCTCACTTGATATTGTTTTGTACATATATGTGCCCAAGGGCGCGCCTTTACTATCGTGTACGGATTTCGACTAGAGTCAAGTTTATGGTTTGAACTGAGAGTTTTTCTGACATGTTGAATACTTTTTGCATCAATGTCGAAAATGTCCCTCCTCTTCAGGGAAATGTTTGTGCGTGTATGTTCAAGGTCAATTCCTTCTAAACGTGTTAGACCATTCCAATTTGTATTAATCGATTCCATTAATCTCCAGTTTGTTTAATTTTCAATGGAAGACCTCCAGCGTCTCTATCAAAACATACAAAAAATCATCCCCGCACTTGCATCCGAATGCACATTATCAAGAAGATTAATTTCCCGGTAGACCGTGGGGCAAGAATCATAGGAGTTACATCCATCAATTTGAGAATATTTGAGTAAATTTTGTGAGGATCGTTGTGGTAACACAAACAGTGCGTCATTGCCGGTAGCTAAATGGACTTATAAAAAGCCCAACACTGGTCAGCGATGTCAGAATTCTGGACGAAAGCTCGGACTGCTCCACACACCTTCAAATCACAGGTTACAATTCTCGGCAGATTCAATAGATTTCCTCCGCTTCTCCGTTTTCAGAATTCTTCACATCCATTCCTATCGTACTCAGAAGTGCTTCGTTTACGCTGTTCTCTGCCCTAAAACGCACTCATTGGGCTGATGTCTTCAGGGAGACTGAACTCAATCAAGTTGCCATCAGCCCCGATTCAATGTTTTTATTGACTAAGTCACTGATTTCAAATTCGCTTTTCAGCCACTGAATCAGCTCGGCAGACTTTAGTCCTGCAATCTCCGTGTGAATCTGAAGGATCAATATACACACTGAGTAAACCGTGTTTATAGGTTGGTGAAGGGCAATTCCTAATATTGATTTCCATCAACCCGACGCAAATTCCATCTTAACAGTAATTTTGGAGTTTATCAAGTAAGTTTACAACACTTGCGCATTTCATTTGACTGGACAACATTTCAACTTTGGTAAAACTACTCTTCACAGTTTGACAAGCTCCACATTGGGAACAACTTCTGACAACGGGACATTCGTGATGGCCAATGAGATGACTGAATACATGGTAACAGAGTTTACATCTGAACCCAACGGTCCATTACGTGACATCACCATGGATCCTGATTACCAATCTTTGTACAACATTTCTGATGTTAATGGTAATGACTACCTTCTCAACACCACTTTCTGGTTCGATTTAAGCACCGAGGAGCCAACACCCTTTCCACTCCCAGGCAGAGCTCCCCTGATTGAAATCATCATACGCTTGGTAATTCTGATAATCACCCTTTTCGGCAACACTTTAGTGCTGTACGCCTACGCCACAACGAAAAATCTTCGTAAATACACCAACTATTACATCGTGGGTTTGGCGGTGGCTGATTTCTTCTCTGGGGGCGTCCTGTCAATTATACTCCTTTACCAATCTTTTCTTGGTTACTGGCCCTTCACCGAGGTCGCCTGCACCTGCAAGACCTTCATCAATCACGTTTTCCTCCAGGCCACTTTCTTGATGACGGTGGTGATTTGCTACGATAGGTTCAAGGCTCTCAACATGCCCCTCAAACACTTGAAGGATAAGACCATGCGACGAGCGTGTTTCCTGATATCCCTTGCCTACATTATCCCGGTACTGCTCTGGACGCCGGTCATTGTTGTGTTCCCGTACGTCGGGCTGGCCACACGGATACGTCCCCCGCTGTGCACTGGTCCCTACGCGCTCCATCCTTCCCTACTCATCTTTGCAATCCTAGTCCTGTCCTGGATCCCGATGTTGGTGACCTCTGTCCTGTATGCCTTCGTTTATAGTGCCGTCATTCGCAAAGGAGTCAACAAGAAGCGAGGCATCGGCGAGGAGGCCAGCTCCAACAATAAATCCGAGAATCCGCCTGCATCGCGAGCAGCAACCAAAGAAACACCTGGCTTGAGCAGTCCCACCGATCGGTGCGACCCGGCATCTCACTCACAGACTGCCCTTGATATCGAGCCAGGTTCATCCAAGGATCAAGTCTTCAGCGTCTCTGCTGGAATCTCTATGGGATTGACCAACTTGGCCTTCGAACAAACCGGAGATGATAATGATGAAGACAACACCAAGAATCATCCAGAAACCGCCATCCGCCACATTTCGGCAGTACAGTCGACGAAACGTCCAGCGAAAAAAGCCGGTGAAACGTCGACGAAACGCCATGTCGGCCTAGGCGCATTGCAGCGTAAAACACGAGCCTCCACCATGGGTTCCAAGCGGGAGAGTCGGTTGGCCAGTCTCCGTGCAACGCGCACTTTGACGTACATCATGTTCACTATGGTTGTGACGGCACTACCGTGGTCCATCTTCACGCTCTGGGCCGCCGTTGATCCATTCACTGTGCCTCTCAGGGGCCGTGCATTTCCAGTAAGTGACTTTAATTTGGAATTTTGTCCTTTTATCGACTTAAATGTTATCGTAGTGTTGTTTTGTAGTCGAGTTTATCAGAAGTTCACAAGAAGTAAAAGCACAAGTACTTTCACAAGTCCAGTCGCAAGTGAAATTGGATGTACAATAACAAAGAAGTGCCTTCGTCACAGTTCATTTGGATAGCTTGCGACTTGACTTGGGACTGGATGACTTGTGATGGTATTGTTGGACTTGTAATGACTTGTGATGAACTTGACTACACTGCTTTCACGGACGTAAGATTGCTTCGGGTAGGACTCGAACCCAGGACCACCTGCTTTCGTGCAAACGTCTTAACCATTCCCTATATCGTCTGTCTGATTCGAATCCGATTTTGGTCGTGGGTCGTGCTTTTCTGATTTCATCGATTTTCTCAGATATACAAGATCTAATTCCTGTTTAAGAGCTGTTATGTGGGCGCAGCCTACTGAGGTAGAGTGCCCTGAACTCGTGGTCTGGAGAATCGAACCCAAGATCTGTGGGTAATTTGCAGGTTGTAAGTTGAGTCAAGCCTGTGGGTTGTAGCGCGTGTGTCCTTTTGGCAAGAAACATTTTCGCTATCAAATTGCTTCTCCCCACCAAGGAGAAAATAGGTAACTATGGCTGTTCAGGGAGGAAATGGTTACTGCCCAGATGATACGTTGGCCCGACGTCGGTTAACGACGATTTTTGTTTGTTGGTGATCGGTATGTAAACTGACGTCGGCCCACCAACGTTGTACTGAGGTTGGTAACAATCTGTTTGTTCGACATCGGCCTGACAACGTTATGCTGACGTTGTCGATCGGCCTGCATTTTCACGTCGGCCTGCCAACGTTGAACTGACGTTGGTATTAGTTTCTATATTAGACGTCAACGTTCCAACATTATTCATACGATGGCAATCGGTAAGTATGTTGGCGTCGGCCTGCCAACGTTGTGCTGACGTAGGTGAGCAGTATACATTTAATTAACGTCGGCCTGCCTACGTTGTGCCGACGTTGGCAATCGATGTGCATTTTGACGTTTGTTTGCCAACATTGTATCGACGTTACTAAATCGTCTGTATATTCGACGCTTGGAGTTTAGTAAAGACATCATACCTTTATTCAACAAGAGAACATGCAAGGTAGGGTAACGAATCTTACACCCGTCAACCAGTGGTCCTTAATTGTTCGTATTTGCTCAAGGGCGTCTTCCTAAAAGTATCAAACTGTATGAAGATTTCTTAAGTTTAATAATCTTGCGATAAAATTATATTTTCCACACACTTCGTCGTTCAACCACATAATCAGATCAAGTTTCCTTCTTGAGAAGGCGTTTGATAAACAGAATGAAGCCAGCTGAGACGAGTTGATCATTGTTATTAAAGCGCGCAAATTGTATCCTTGAGTAAACGGGAAGCGTTTGTGCCACAGTCACTTGAGGACTTTATAGGAAGAAATCTGTGCAATATTTTTCCCGTTCCAGTTGTTAAAACAATTACATAAGGAACCTGAATGACCTAACGATGTCGCACAACGTACTTATTGAATCAGCCTCTTTGAAAAAAAAATAGACAAAGCGAAGTCTGCAGTAACGGGGAATTTAGCTGCCATAAACTCTCACTTGATATTGTTTGTATATATTAAAAGTCGATATAGTGGGAAAGTCTTTATTTGGATAGGCTTAGCTCAAGTCAGATCTCTTACCCGGACGTTGTACAGAGATTTAACAACACTTTTACCGGCCCAGCCTTCTCAATCGCTGTGCCCAAGTGCGCGCCTTTACTTTCGTGTACGGATTTCGACTAGAGTCAAGTTTATGGTTTGAACTGAGAGTTTTTCTGACAAGCTCAATACTTTTTGCAGCAATGTCGAAAACTTCCCTTCTCTTCAGGGAAATATTTGTGCGTGTAAGTTCAAGATCAATTCCTTCTAAACGTCTTAGGACATTCCAATTTGTATTAATCGATTCCATTTATCTCCCGTTTGTTTAATTTTCACTGGAAGACCTTCAGCGTCTCTGTCAAAACATAAAAAAAATCATCCCCGCACATGCATCCGAATGCACTTTATCAAGAAAATTAATTTCCCAGTAGATCGTGGGGCAAGAATCATAGGAGTTACATCCATCCATTTGAGAATATTTGAGTAAATTTTGTGAGGATCGTTGTAGTAACAAAAAACAGTGCGTCATTGCCGGTAGCCAAATGGACTTATAAAAAGCCCAACACTGGTCAGCGATGTCAGAATTCTGGACGAAAGCTCGGACTGCTCCACACACCATCAAATCACAGGATACAATTCTCGGCAGATTCAATAGATTTCCTCCGCTTCTCCGTTTTCAGAATTCTTCACATCCATTCCTATCGTACTCAGAAGTGCTTCGTTTACGCTGTTCTCTGCCCTAAAATGCACTCATTGGGCTGATGTCTTCAGGGAGACTGAACTCAATCAAGTTGCCATCAGCCCCGATTCAATGTTTTTATTGACTAAGTCACTGATTTCCAATTCCCTTTTCAGCCACTGGATCAGCTCGGCGGAGTTTAGTCCTGCAATCTCCGTGTGAATTTGAAGGATCAGTATACACACTGAGTAAACCGTGTTTATAGGTTGATGAAGGGCAATACTTAATATTGATTTACATCAACCCGACGGAAATTCCATCTTAACAGTAATTTTTGAGTTTATCAAGTAAGTTTACAACACTTGCGCATTTCATTTGACTGGACAACATTTCAACTTTGGTAAAACTACTCTTCACAGTTTGACAAGCTCCACATTGGGAACAACTTCTGACAACGGGAAATTCGTGATGGACAAATGAGATGACTGAATACATGGTAACAGAGTTTACATCTGAACCCAACGGTCCATTACCTGACATCACTATGGATCCTGATTACCAATCTTTGTACAACATTTCTGATATTAATGGTAATGACTATCTTCTCAACACCACTTTCTGGTTCGATTTAAGCACCGAGGAGCCAACACCCATTCCACTCCCAGGCAGATCTTCCCTGACGGAATTCATCGTACGCGTTGTCAGTGTGATTATCACCCTCTTCGGCAACGCTTTAGTGCTGTACGCCTACGCCACAACGAAAAATCTTCGTACATACTCCAACTATTACATCGTGGGATTGGCAGTGGCTGATTTCTTCGCTGGGGGCGTCCTACCAATTATAAACCTCTACCATTCTTTTCTTGGTTACTGGCCCTTCACCGAGGTCGCCTGCACCTGCATGACCTTCATCTCTCACGTTTTCCTCCAGGCCACTTTCTTGATGACGGTGGTGATTTGCTACGATAGGTTTAGGGCTCTCAACATGCCCCTCAAGCACTTGAAGGATAAGACAATGCGTCACGCGTGTTTCCTGATATCCCTTGCCTACATCATCCCGGTACTGCTCTGGACGCCTGTCATTGTGGTGTTCCCGTACGTCGGGCTGGCCACACGGATACGTCCCCCGCTGTGCACCGGTCCCTACGCGCTCCATCCTTCCCTACTAATCTTCACAATCCTAGTCCTGTCCTGGACCCCGATGCTGGTGACCTCTGTCCTGTATGCCTTCGTCTATAGTGCCGTCATTCGCAAAGGGGTCAACAAGAAGCGAGGCATCG